ATTGCGGTAGAGGTCATTTTGACGTACAAATGTCTTCAGGGGTTGTAAACATTTAAATAATTTGATAGCAAGGAAACATACTGATGGAATTTGGCCTTAATTTTTTTTAAATAAGTATATAGTAAAAGACAAAATAATATAATATAAATATTATGCAAAACCGTCGCTTCCAGAATCCGATTCGTGAGAGTCGGTGTTGCTTACATTTATTACGAATTAGTCTACTGTTTTGTCGATGTTGTGGTCAATACGATTAAATTGATACGAAAGACGACATTTATTGGGTTCACTGGAAGATGATCCTGCCACTGATTCTGATTCCATGGTTTGGTCTTCGTTTAACAAAAAATAAGGTTACAGTGAAAACAAATTGACAAATCAAAACAAAATTAAAATGTGAATATTTCCGAAACTCGACCGAATGCAAGTGCACTCCCACACAGAATACAATTTAATATATGTAAAGGAAAATATCCGAAAGGTTACGCGCACCTGGCATGAAATGCGGTGAAACAAACAGGGATAACTTTGAATTTGTTTTTTTAGACGCCATGTGGTATTTTTTATGAATGCCAAAATTAAATTGATTTATTTTATATTTTTGAAATTGTAAAGTTAAAGGAACTGTATTTATTGTTATTATGAACTGAGTTGTAAATATAAGTTTTATTTAAATCTAGTATATTATACTAACGTGATATAATATTTATTTTTAATAAACGTACCTATAATCATTCATTACAATAATAAGTAGTATAAAAATCTTAACTGCAATAATAAAAATGTGATGTTTACAACATTCCAATTCACCGAGTGGTATACCTCAATTTTATTAATTTTTTAAGTTACATTATTGACTTTTATTATGTTAATCACGCGATGCCAAAATTGCGACAGTTTTACAGGCAATCGGCGATCAGTCGCTGCGAATTGTGTGTTCAGGATGAAACTCTCGGGTGAATTATTGCTATTGCCATGCTATTTGGCATAAACTATATTAGTCAATATTTTTTATGCTTAAATAGAAGAGTGTATAGTTAGATTGTCATATGATAAAAACACTCTTAGTGTACGCGCACACGTGGATTTGTTAATATACTGCAACAAAAATCGTCTTGGTACACTAGAATTATAATTCAGTAATACATAATTTTGATATATTTTTCAGGCAAATCTGCAAAAGAGACAAAGGTGCAGCAATGACTTTAGTCTACAAAAAGGTCGCATGGGAACATCCATTGATAAGTTCAGATAAACCAACTTTCTTGGCCGCCGATGCTAATACTAAGAAAGTGCTCATCCACAAAAAATACAAACCAAAATCCGACGAAAAATCTTTGAATTTACCTTTGGTAAGAAATTTTTTCTTTACTCCAATGAGTTACCGAAATCATAATTCAGCATTTTAATATTTTTGCGATTAAAAAAGTTTCTTCAAGGGTGGTACATTCAAGTACTGAGGAAATTTGTTTCTTTTTCTTGGGTGCAAAAGCAGGTTATTTTGCAGTGTATTGTAATTCTAAATAAGATCAGGTGGGGCAAGAGAAACATACTTTATTTCGAGACAAATGTTATGAGCTCTAAGAGGAATAAATAATGTCTTAATACGAATTTCGAAATACTCAAATCTTGCCCTGGTTTATCAGCATTCCATGTTTTAACAATCAGTACGGCGTACGCTAAAATTAATACTTACGATGTATCTGACAAAAACTGTTTAAACCCAATACAAAGATTCGCAACAAGCACATAGAGAAATTATTAAAAACTGCTGGCACGATCTGTAACCCAGTAGGCACAGCGGTATCCACGTTGAGGCAACAGTCGCAGGTTCACGTCCAGTCGGGTCGAAAGAATTCTTGTGTTTTAAGTGACAGACTTATAAGAAGTTAAACTTATATTGCGAGTCTCTTTGCTCACCTCACATGCATCACACACTGGACACTTCACTTATAATTCACTCCATATATAGCGGGTTACCACATCGCATACATTATTAAATATATTGAAATTATAATTAATGACACACATTATTTTCCTGAATGTTTTCTTTTCTAGGAATGTGTGTTAAACCATTCTGAAGTAAGACTACATCATAATCTTGTAGATGCCAATATTGCTTTGTGTTCTCCTTCTGTGCCACCACTGTTCTCTGATAATTTTGACTTCCAAACTAGAGATGACTTCATACATGGTATTCTCATAAATGAGGAAATTTTAGCCAGCTCCCTTTACTACACACTTGTAAAAGAACACCAGTATGCTGCTGCTGTCACCAATTGGAAGACGTATCAAATTGTCTGGTAAGTGTCCCAACTTATTTTTTTATTAACTTTAGTCGACATACTTTTAGTTTATTAATTTTCCAGCCGCGATATCCTGCATCAATGGGCGTTTCCCTTATGTATAGAAACAGGATCATTCTACCAAAACAATTATGTCCTAATGGCTTGTCATAACTTCCGGAAAGCAACTTCTAAATTGAGCAGGTGCGTAAAGTATCTAACATAATGTCATTATAATCTATACCCATTTATTTGGTTAAACTAATATGACTAAGAAATTGTATAATGTTGAACGTTTACAGGTCTTGTACACTAATAGAAGATGTTTTAGTTGGAGACAACACACAAATCAGTGATCACACAACTGTTACAAAATCTATGATTGGTGACAATTGTGATATAGGAAACAATGTTACAATAAGTGGAAGCCAAATTATGAACAATGTGGTGATAAAGGATAATTGTAAAATAATAAATACGTTTATTGATGACAATGTTGTGGTAGAAGAAAATTGTGTTTTGGAAGCTGGTGCTATTTTAGCAGCTAGTGTGCATGTGAAAACTGGCCGTAAACTAAAAGGAAACATTATTGAGTCTGATGATAAGGAAAATGGTATGTACACTTTTTTAATCTCTTACTATTGCTTAATGCTTTAATAAGTACAAGTGGCAAATTACTTTTATTATTGGGTTGTGTTGTATTGAACCAATCAAACCAAGTTCATGATATTGATCCCCATGCATTTTTGTAAATTACCACTGTAACATTTATTTACACTACTGTATTGTAACAAAGTGTTCTCTGCATTTTTAGAGAAAACATTGATGAAATCCGCGTCAGAAAGTGGCACAGAATGGGAGAATGAGTCTTCAGGCAGTGGTGGAGATGAATTTATTGGTTTTGAGAAGGAATGGAGTGACAGTGAATCCTTTTATACTTCTGATAGTAGTGCTGAATCTTCTCTGCCCGATTCTCCTATTCCCGAAGACACTAACAGTAAGAAGTAGTAGTTACTTATTGATTTAAAAGTATTATTTACAGTACAAGAGCTGAATTGAGTTTACACTTGATTTATCTTTTTCAGTATTTTTACAAGAAGTCATAGAAAGTTTGGCAAGAGGATACAATGATAAACTGAAATGTGACTATCTGATATTAGAGATTAATTCATCAAGATATGCATATAACATCCAATTGCATGAAGTAAACTTTTTTGTCATTAGAGCCTTGCTCAGTATGCCAGCTCTAACAGAGGCTGATAATGTTGTGGTCGCAGTTAAAGATATTCTAAAATATTTTCGTCCTGTTTTGTCCAATTATATTAAAACAAAGTCTTCTATTATGGATTGTTTAAGAGCAGTTGAAGTGAGTATATTTGGATTTAATATTCAATGTTTTTAAAATAAGTTGGTAAAGTCTAGGTAGTAACATTATTGCTGGTTTTCACTCCAGGATAGCTGCATAAAATGCGAGTGGTTAAATGGCAAAACAGGTCAAATTCTTCATTTATTATATGAAGCTGATGTTGTTGATGAAGACTCTTTGCTGGAATGGTATGAAGACCTCAAAGAAAATGAAAGTCCTATAGTGACACAACCTTCTTTACTCAAGTTCTTTGATTGGCTACAGCAAGCAAGCGAGGAAAGTGACGAATCAGAATGAAAACACAAAAGTTATTAAAATATAAAAATGAGAGATAATACTATAACTAAGTGTTTTATTTCATTAATTTACAGCTATAAATATAAATACCAACTTGAAAGGGTTGTTAAATATGTTTTTATTCACAAACTCTTTTACTTTTAGAGCCTTCAGCTCTTTTCAGAGCTCCTTGGGAACAAAGCAAAGTTGTGTCACTATACATTTTTACTTAATGGAGTGTTAAAACAGTTTTGCGCATACGAATTGGCACATTATGAATATCTAATACTAAAAAGGTAGGTAATGAACTTAAATGAATCTTACAGTAAAAGTTAATTTAGCGGATAGTAGCATATTGTTGAAACTGTACTGTAGAAAAGTTTCTAAACTTATTTATGTCAAAGGAAGTAGTTTCACATGGGGAATGAACTTTGATCTGTCTCATATGTGTGTCTCTTCCATTTTGGTGGTTACTCAATACTGCTATTTGAATCATGTATGTTCTGATTGGTCGGTCATGGATATCTTTAATTGGTATTACTTCCCAACCTAGAACAAAATAATAATTGTGAACATTACCTTTGAATTCTTTACCCAAGTGTGGCTGCATTAGAAAATCTTTTCAAAGTCTTTATCATACCGCTAGGCTCAATCAATTCAATAACTTCAATTTCTTGCAAATCATTAAAATGTGTTCCAGCACGAATTGATATTCTGCTAGGTGTATAGCTCTCATCTAGTTTATAGTCTGTATAGATGTAAATGTGTGAGACCATAGTTTTTCTTTGGAATTGAATGTTTACTAGATGAGGCAGTTGTCCATCCGATTGCCAATAAGTTTCCATGCAGTCATCTCTCAGCTGGTCTATTCCAAAACCTGTGGAAGACAAGTTGTAGTGTTCCTAACTAGTTGACCACATATTTCATCTTAACCCGGCGACACTTGCTACTGGGTAAAAAATACCACAGAGTATTTATGTACGATGATTATTACTTTTCTGAGCGCCCTGGCGACACGGGGCTCTAGGTACCATCTAACCAATAGTTAATGCATATGCACACCGCGAGACAACCAGTTTGCACGCGGCCTTTGGAGACGACATACGAATAAAGTGAGTATGGGTAAAAAATACCCGGTAGCAACAGTACTTGTTATATTATTTTTCAGTTTACTTATGATTATTTTCGTCGGTCTTTACGACGACCAAGGTCAGAGCGATACCTTCAATGTACACTAAGCCAACTTAATTTTTGGACCTGCTCTGTTTTTATTTTGTTTTTTGTTTCTTTTTTTTTTTTACAAAATTCGTTTTTTTTTGTTCTTGTTTCTTTTTTTCACAAAATTCGGAGAGCGCAATTAAGATTATATTTATATTAAGCAGCCATACTTACTAAGGCAAATAAATATGGTTGTTTACAAAAATAACAGAAGATGATCAAAAAATAAAGATGGCATAGTGTTCATTGGAGGTATCGAGAGAAGATTGTAGCACCCTTTTCGGGTTTCAAAAACCAACCACCACAGTATGATGTCATATGTCCCAAAGAAGAATAAGTGGTTCTCTTGACATCAACTATGCACCATGATGGCAAAAAATATTCTGGAGAAGGAATAAAACCAGAAATGATAATAGATAATAATAGAACCAAATGTGATGTCGATGTTGTGGATGAGCTTTGTGCTACGTACTCAGTGGCACGGGCAACTAGTAGAGTACTCTTTTATGGACTTCTGAAAATTGCGGAATCAATGCACAAATACATTATAGTGAAGGTGAAAAGAGAATAATGGAGCTGTGATGGCTAAGGGGAGGATCATCTTGAATGATTTAGCTTTGAGTCTGTGATGCCACAGATACAGAAGAGGGCATTTGTACCTTATTTATCATCATCTTTAAAAACACAAACCAAGTTTATGCTCAACGACGACTTGAGTATTGAAAAGACATCGGCGAGTACATCTCGATCTCGCGCATCTGTTTCTGCTTCTCGCTGTGCCGTAAAGATGGAGACAGTCTGTGTATTGTGCTTCAAAAAGATATACCAAGACCATATAATCCCAATTTGTGGCGATTGCTTTGAATGATTTACAATAGAGTAAAATAGATTAATTTGGACCAAGGAGCTTGGAACATATGGCTTCATGTCGATTTTATCAATGTTCGTGTATTATAAATATACTGATATTTTGTTATTTTGATAGTACATTAAGTCTATTTTTTGATATTGATCTCAATTTTGCATGTTCCAAAAGATAAAAAATATATTTGTTGATTCTTATAGCGTATATTCGTATACATATTTTTTTTCAATTTTTAGTACTTTTCTACGATAATCTATAATTTCTATAACTACTCATTACAAGTTGTATTTTGTAATTTTATTTATTAAGAATAACATCATTAAAATTACTGCATCTTCATAGATTTATAAATTAATTTTCTATTCTTAGATAATGCCCTTAAATTCTATGGTATTTTTTACCTGGTAGTTAGTAATCGTGTCTGTAAACACCTAGCGAGGGCCAACGGGTTAATAAATTGTATGGCATGAAAGGTAATCATATAAAATGCATAATGTAGTTATATATCGTCAGCAAAATTTGAAACCTACTCGGATTTTGGCCGAAATCCCTCTTACTCTTCAATCATAATATCAGGCAACTAAGGCTTAAAATACAATGTACAGACATATCATCATCATAGATTGTCATATAAAATTATTTCTAGTAATTCTGTTTTTCTGCACCACTCAAAAGTCGGTATGAGGTCTACGAATTTCGCCGACGCGATTATATGAAAAACCTTCTTTTCTTTTCACTTTGTTGTAGACATAAGCCTAGGCTGGGCTGTAATGCTAAGACTCGGCGTTATACAAAAATACATAGTAAATTAAGAGATACCTGGTTTACACGAAGAGAGGCTCCAAATAGCATGATTTCCGACTTCCCTTACAGTACCTGATCTTTCGCTTACAAGAGGGTCCTTTTCAGAGGCCATAGTTTACAATATGTCTTTCTATCTAAATTACTTTCTTACTTGCGTTTACAATAAAAAATGAGTACATAAAAAATCAAGGCAGGTGTTATGATTGAATAAATTGAATTTAAGTTTTTTTTTTTTAATTTATTGCTGGCCAACAAAGCCCTTCAGCCGAAGATCGTTTCAGTGTTGCCACTTTTTTCTCTTAATTCTCTTGGCATTTCGCGTTAAGAGTGTTGCTACTTGCTTGCCAGGATCCGTGAGCTAAAAACTTTTTTTTTAGATCAAAAAGTTATGCAACAAATTAAGTTTACTTTTATAGTTTACTCCTCTAATTTCTTGCATAAAGAAGTATGGCGACATCCCGTGTATTTTGTTACGCAGTGTTTTTGGCAACGTGCTTTAGCATTAAAGAGGCCTTTTTTTTTTTTTTTTTATAAAATATAGGTGCGCATTTGACCTCCATCTCACCTGATGGAAAGTGACGATGAGGTCGACGATGGAGCATGCACACCTAAATAATGCCTATTCACTCTCGCCTTGAAAAGGTCCAAGTTATAACGTTCAGGGAACAAGTCTGCAGGCAGGGAATTCCACTCCATAGCCGTTCGCCATATAAATGTGGAAGCGTAACGCTTCGTGCGAATCTTTGGAATATCCACAACATAGGGGTGGAACCCAAGCCTACGCCTAGTCCCCCGGTGATGGAAAGGGGAAGGCGGAATTAAATCATGTAATTCCATCGCACACTCTCCGTGATATATCCTGTAAAATACCGATAAGCAGGCAACTTTACGGCGGTGTTCAAGGCTCTGCAGCTTCGCCTCCACTAATTCCGAGTCACCTATAAGTCTCTTGGCACGGTTGTCAATTGAATCCAAAGTGGCCAGTTGATATGTCGCAGAGCCATCCCAAAGGTGGCAGCAGTACTCCATGCACGATCGGACTTGTGCCTGGTACAGCTGGAGCAACTGTCCCGGTGTAAAGTACCGCCTCACCCTGGAAAGGATCCCAAGCTTCCTTGCTGCATTTTTGGCCGTGGATTCAATGTATCTGCCGAAGTTCAAATTGGACGACAGGTCCATTCCAAGTAGCTGGAGACAATCGGCTATCGGTATGGATATATCACGAAAAGTCGGAGTCAGCTCAAAGGGACTCCGTTTTGTGGAGAATAGACACGCCTGCGTTTTGGTAGCGTTAAATTTGACAAGATTGGCATTGCCCCAATCGGAGACTGCCTGGAGTGTCAAATCTAAACGGCTAACCATGGACTCTCGACAAGACTGGATTTCCTCTCCACTGACCCTTGCATTGGTCAAGTACCTATCTACAACTGTGCTGTCATCAGCATACGCAAAGGTACCTGGAATTAACATATCATTGATATGCAGCAGAAAGAGAGTTGCAGACAGTACGGAACCCTGAGGAACTCCGGCATCTATCGCCATATGTTCGGAAGAGTAGCCTTCTAAGACCACTCGAATCGAACGTTCGCTCAAGAAATCCGAGATCCAATTGCAAAGGTCAGTGGGAAGCCCATAAGAGGGAAGCTTGCTTAAAAGGCTTGCGTGCCAGACCCTGTCAAAGGCTTTAGAAATGTCCAAAGACACTGCAAGTGCTTCGCCTTGCTTTTCTATAGCCTCGCTCCATATGTGACAGGCATACACAAGAAGATCCCCAGTAGATCGCCCTCGTCGGAATCCGTACTGGCGATCACTGAGGAGATCGTTGTCTTCAAGGTACGATAGGAGACGGTTGTTGAGTACACGTTCCATAGTCTTGCAGAGTATGGAAGTGACTGAGATAGGTCTATAGTTGACAGGGTCAGCTCTGCTTCCCTTTTTTGGTACAGGTTGCACGTTTGCAAGCTTCCACGATCTGGGAACTACACCAGTCTCAAGTGAGAGGCGGTACAGGCGTGTGAGAACAGGAGACAACTCAGGTGCACAGTTACGAAGGACTATTGCTGGAATTCCATCTGGCCCGCTAGCTTTATTCACGTCTAGATTTCGCAGAGTTCTAAGTACCTCTTTTTGGCGTATGCGAACTGGCGCCATAGTGCAGCCAGCCTGAGGTAAAGTAGGTGGTAGGGTCCCTGCGGCATCTAGACGCGAATTTTCTGCAAAGAGTGAGGCAAAGAGATTCGCCTTCTCTTCCGCAGTATGAGCCAGCGAACCATCCGGCCTCAGCAGAGGTGGCAAAGATGGGCGACAAAAGTTCGATTCGACCGCTTTGGCCAGGGACCAAAAGGATTTGCTGCCTGCTGGATAAGAGGCAAGCTTGGCTCCTATGCGGCGCACATGGTCGAACTTGGCCCTACGTAACATGCTTTTGCACTTCTTGGCGGCCTTATTAAAAGCTTTCTTCATGTTCTGAATACTCGGAGTTTTGCGTAGTCGAGCATCTGCCCAAGCTTGGTACGCGGACTGTTTACGTGCTTCAGCACAACTACAATTAGCGTTAAACCATGGACGAGCTTGGGGTCCATTGGGTACATCAGAGTATGGAATGTAATACTCCATACCCAAACGCAAGACCTCGACTACAGCATCAGCACAGCTCGACGAGTCTCCTGAAGTAAAGCACGCCTGCCAGGGATATGACGCAAAGAAATGGCGCATTTCGTCCCAATCTGCTAACTTGTATCGCCACACCCGTCTCATACCACTAGGGCCCTGATCGGGTGGGGAGTATACGGATACAGTTTTCACCAGACAATGGTCGGAAGTACCCAGTGGGGCCTCCACAACCACAGAGTATCGGTCCGGATCAGTTGTCAGCAGAAGGTCCAAGCAATTAGCCGTATGAGATTCAACATCTGGTATCCTAGTGGCGCCACTGACAAGCTGGGATAAGCTTAGCGTTAACGCAAGTTTACGCGTCTCTCTCCCAGCGTGATCGGTCTTCTGGTATGGGAACAACCATTCTTGATGGTGTGCATTAAAGTCCCCCAGAATGACTAGTTGCGCCGCTGGGTACCTATGCTGAATCTCATCAGACGTCTCACTTAGATATTGGAACAGCTTGGTCGTCTCCTGATCTCCACTGTGCGATCGGTAAACACAGCAGTACACTATTTGTGTAACTCCTGTGTCAACCAGAAGCCACAAAATTGAAAAACTCGGTGCCTCAAGGTTCTTGAGACGCTTGACACAGATGTCATCGCGAACGTACACACAGACTCCGGCACGAGGTACGAACCTGTGCTCCAGAGTATACCCGGGGTAGCTGAGGTACGCTGCGTCAGTCGGACATCTGATCTGCGTCTCTGTGAGGAACAGCAGCTGCGGTTTGTCGGTTTCAAGGTGGTAGTGGACCGAATCGAGATTTGAGTGCAGACCTCGGATGTTAGTGAGGTGCACTTTTAGTGGGAGGACGTGCAACCGCTGTGTATACTTTTTTCCATTTTTATAGTTTTTCATTTTTGGATTTGGAGAAGTGAATAGGCAGGAGGAAGGCAGTTGAACGAGGCACTGCGTCGTGTTCAACCAAGCAGCAGACTCATACTGCCACACGAGGTTACAATCGGCTTGGAGACCGCGGGGACGCCCGAACCCCCCCGGAGATGGCCACCTGGTCCTCCCTTCCGGTCGCCAACCGGCAAGGTGGAGCATTCCGGGATTTTTCGTTGGGTGGCGGGGCAGCCTTTCACGGGTGGCTTTCCCGCTACTTGGGCCCCCAACTTCCCACGGTCGGCCAGCGGTGCACCGTGCTTCGGATCCCGCTAGCCTCCAGAACCGAGTGCTCAGTGTGGCAGTACAAGCAGCTACAACTCGCCGTCAGACGCAATGCAACTGTTCAGACCCGACCTCCAAATGGCAACTCCCGAACACGAGTCGGAACACGGTAAAAACCATTTGGCGACTCGACTGCGTCGGGAGGGTGGTGACTAGCCACGGCCGAAGCCTACCACCAGTAGTTATTGCTCTTTAGCACCACCCAGGGGTCACTTGTAGGGTCTCAAGGGTAAACCTACGGAAGCGAGCAACATCAACCCCCAAAATAGGTATGAGCCTATCAATAGGTATGAGTCATTATATAATAATAATAATGATAATTCTTTATTTCATAAAAGATTTGTACAGGATGTAACACGTAATATGTAGATACATATAAAATTTTAACAGAATAACTCGTACAATTTAATCTATTGAGCTCTGATTATCCAAACTAGGCGTAGGCATGTGTGTGTGTGTGTGTGTGTGTGTGTGTGTGTGTGTGTGTGTGTGTGTGTGTGTGTGTGTCTGTGTGTCTGTGTGTCTGTGTGTCTGTGTGTCTGTGTGTCTGTGTGTCTGTGTGTCTGTGTGTCTGTGTGTCTGTGTGTCTCTGTGTGTCTCTGTGTGTCTCTATGTGTCTGTGTGTCTGTGTGTGTCTCTGTGTGTCTGTGTGTCTCTCTCTCTCTGTGTGTGTGTGTGTGTGTGTGTGTGTGAAATAGTGAGTGAGTGAGTGAGTGAGTGAGTGAGTGAGTGAGTGAGTAAGTGTGTGTGTGTGTGTGTGTGTGTGTGTGTGTGTGTGTGTGTGTGTG